ACAAACTGATGGTTTACAGAACAGAGGTGGGTGTGAGATGGGTGAAACAGGTGATGGGGATTAAGGAGCACACTTGCCATGATGAGCACCAGGTGATGCATGGAAGTGTTGAAGAACTATATTGTACACCTCAAACTAATATTATACTGTATGCTAACTGGAATTTAAATAAAAACTTTAAAATTTTTATTATTGGTTAAACAAGTGATAGAATGAGGCATTCTCTTTTTTGCAGTGTAAACTAATAAATACAGGAGAAAAACAAGATTTAAACCATTCCTATACTACAGCTCTAATGAATTAATGGATCTAAACTTTAACTATTGCCCAAATTATATGCCTCTTGGTGGCAGAGTATACCAGCATTACAGAGAATATTTCCAAAAGTATCAAAGCTGTATCTGAGGATACCTCTTTCCAACTACCATTTGCAGAGAACAGGAAAACAGGTAAAAATATTAAACCACACCATGGGGGTTCAATCATCAAAATTCAGATGGTCAGAAGCTCTACAGGAAAAAACAACAGTTCCTTCAACTAGTAAATTTCAAGAAAAAAAAAGAGTAGAAGCATAATGACTTAAAAGAGGTTTCAGAGACATATCAAACAGTCATAATATATAGATTCATTCAAATTTGATTCAAATTTTAAGATCATTTATTACAAAACAATTAATACTAATCCTGAGCTCCTGGATTTGCTTATCCTACATATCAAGGAAATAATGTATCTTATTTTCAGCTGTAAGACTCCACTAAAATAGGAAAGTTAATGAACGTATTAATGTTGTGGTTGCAAGTTACTTCAGTTCTTTCGGGAAAAGGTTAATGATTGAATAGATACTCAAAAGGGAATCACAGGGGTAAGCATACGCTCAGGTTCATAAATACTTAATAAATACTGCCAACAGTTTTCCAAAGTGGTTGAACCAATTAAAACTTCCACTGGCAGTGGGAGATAGAAGCTGTGGAGAAATGGAAACAGAAGCAAGACCTCTGGGGCCCCAGACCCAGGGACGACCTCCTTATAGGACTGTTAGGAATCTACCTGAAGTTTCTGCCTATTGCAGCTGGTGCTGGTGAGTTACCACAGAGTGGGGAAGACTGGAGAACCAATGGCAGCTCACATGGGAGGGGTCCCTCTTGGCCTGAGGTTCTGGCTCCATAATGCACCGTATATACTAGTGGTCTCAGCTCAGGGGGATTTTTTGCTCCTCACACTCCACACCCCTGAGCATTTGGCAATATCTGGACACATTTTGATTGTCATATCTTCCCAGATTTGGGGGAGGTACTATTGACGTCTAATTGGTAGAGGTCAGGGATGCTGCTAACCATCCTTGCAGAGGTAAGAATCACACCACTCCATCACGAAGAATTACCTGGCTCCAAATGTCAATAGTGCTGAGTTTGAGAAACTTTATATGTACCCTTGGGGACAGTAATCCGAAGGGGCACATAGAAGCTTCTGGGATGTTAGTATTGTTAAGTTTCTTGATCTGGATGTTAGTTTCATGAGAATATTCAATTTGTGAAAATTCATGAAGCTGCATATACTTATGTGCGCTGCTCTGTGTGTATATCCTAATTCAATAAAAATGAACGGTAGGTCCTGAGCATATATATTTTTATTCAAAACCCTCATAATTTGTGTGCTATGATTTCTAATGTAGCAACGAGGAAAATGGGGCTCCAGAGATGTCCAAAGACAAACAGTAAGTTGGTACCACAGTACCAAATCTTGGATTTGAACCCCTACCTTTCTGGTTCCGGGTCATTGAGCTCACCCAACTCCAAGCTAGCAGCAGCAATCAAATGTTAACGAAAGGCAGGTGGAAAAAAAAACCTAGTTTTTATTTCAGTATCGTCCAAATTTGGGGTCAACCAGTCCTCTGAGTTTTCTCCCCTTTTAAATTGCTTGTTTTAGGACATGTAAAATTTTGTTGCCTCTGAATTAGAGAATGGACAGCTATAAAAATGAGAAAGTGGGTGAAACAGATCAAATAAGGTAGCAATTTTATAGATTACCAGGGCATTGGGAGAGAAGTTTGAAACTACTAGAGTTTAACACTTAATGGGAAGTTTTAGGACCACACGTGAATTGAATTCACACACACTCCCACAGGACTATGAATAATCGAAATCCAGGCAAAAACTAAGGGTCAAGAGAAAAAGGCATTAATTATTAAATGAATGTGACACTATTCATTTGGACATCTTTCGCAGGAACAGCCAATATGAATACTCAAAAGAAATGGACAGCCTGACCAAGTAACCCTTTATAAGAAGGGAAAAGAATGTCAGGAAACCTCATCATTCAAAAGTCAATAGTTCTAAAATTGCTCAGGCCCCAGAGAATTCACCCCTCCTCAAACTCTACCCCCAACCATGACGCTTTTGAAGTGGTTCATGTAAAATCAAGAATCAGAGCACAGATCAAAACCTTAAGCCCAGACACACCATGTTCATTATGCAAAATATCTTTGTAATTGACTAAAACTATGATTTTAAAGTGCCTTGACTGTAAGTGATCATCCATAAACGGTCGCTACTGGGATGGTTGTAACTGGGTCCAGAATCTTACAAGCAAATACACTGCTATAAATTATGAAGCTTAAACCTGATTATAGTGAGGGTATCTAGAAATAATCTACGATCTGTTTGCTATTTAAAATAAGTAGAAGTTACAGCGGGATCTCACAAAGCTCCAATTTTGTTTAATTTGCTGAAAAGAAGGCGCACTGGCAGGTTGACAATTCTATTTTTCAAGGTGGTCAGAGTGATAAATGCCACTGGATCTTCTAAAGAGAGGTGTCTGGTCAGTGGGTGGAAGGAATCAAGGTCATGTGCTGTTTTAGCATCTTTATTAATGATTTGGAAGAGAGAAAAAAATACACAGACATTTTAGGTAATTTTAAAATGGAATATACTGTATTATGAGAAGAAGAAATGCTATTCTTACATGCTCAGGGGCTTCTTCTGCCCTTCCAAATCCCCTGGGGCACAAGCTGCTGAACCTTAGGGTGACAAAAAACATAGTCCAGGGCAAAACTTTCAGAGTTGGAGAGAACACATGCCCATGTCTCTCCCTATGTGAGCTCAGTTCTGCCCAGGATCACAGCTCTCTGTACAATCTCCCACTTGTTCAGACTCTCCTTCAGCAAACCCCATTCTCTCCCTGGGCCCAGCCCCATGTGCAGCACATACAATGCAGGTGATTCATGCCTCAATTAGGAAAAAAAATCTGCTGTCTCCTTTCATTGTACAAGGAACATTCTACCTGTCCCGGTTAACTTTTCTTTGCTGGATCACTTCTCCAGCTTGTGCAGAACTTTTAAGGGAAAAACAAAACAAAACGGAACAAAACAAAAACAAAATCATGGCTTTACCGCTATGCAGATCCCAATTTATCTGGTAGATGCATACGAAATCAGTTATGCCAGCTATTCTTTATGCAGTTAAACAAATGATTCCATGTGCTTTTGCTTTTCCAACCAGTTGTTTTGATCTGCTAATGAAAATATATGGAGAAGAGAAGCTTGTATGTATTTTTGTAATGAATTAAAGGAATGGAAAGCAAATTGAAATCTCAGGATTTCTCAGCTGTAAAGACTAGTCTAATAAAACGTTTCCCAGAAAAAAAGCAGGATTGAATAATGAATGAATTGAATGCTGGCATTGAGCAGACTACTGCCATGGGGCTTCTAGAAAAACACATCCTCCTCCCGAAGGTGTCAAATGCAGCAAGAGGCAAACTCTGAATGTTTGGCCTGAAAACACAGGTTCTTGGGTTCTTAATTAGAAACTACAGATCAATTTTTGGAGATACGTGAAATTTCACAAAAATTTAGGAATATATGTGTATGGGTGTAGAGTTGAGTCTTGAACAATGCAGGGGGGCCGGGGGGGTTAGGAGCACCAACCCTCTGTGCAGTGGAAAAACCCGGTATAACTTTTGACTCCCCCAAAACTTAACTACTTGCGCTGCCAGGCTCAATGAACAGAAGTATAACCTGTAAAAAGATAAAACTTTTTTTAAAAAATATTTTATTTGTCAGAAAGCACGCACAAGCAGGGGGGCAGCATGCAGAGGGAGAAGCAGGCTCCCCACTGAGCAGGGAACCCGATGCAGGACTCGATTCCAGGACCCTGGGATCATGACCTGAGCCAAAGGCAGACGCTTAACTGACTAAGCCACCTAGGCATCCCAAGATAAAACTTTTTTTTTTTTTTTTTTGACAGAGAGATAGAGAGAGAGCACAAGTAGGCAGAAAGGCAGGCAGAGAGAGAGGGAGAAGCAGACTCTCCACTGAGCAGGGAGCCCGACGCGGGGCTCGATCCCAGGACCCCAGGATCATGACCTGAGCCGAAGGCAGCCGCTTAACCGACTGAGCCACCCAGGTGCCCCCCCAAGATAAAACTTCTTTAAACAAGATTTTTATTTATTTGAGAGAGAGAGAGAGAGAGAGCAAGCACTCAGGGGGAGGAGCAGAGGGAGAGGAAGAGGGAGGGGAAATAATCCCAAGCAGACTCTGTGCTAAGCGCAGAACCCAACATAGGGCTCCATCTCACAACCCTGAGATCATGACCTGAGCCGAAATCCAGAGTTGGACACTTAATTGACTGAGCCACCCAGCTGCCCCAAAAGAAAAAACTTTCTGGAACACTTCAGATCCTGAGGTGTCAAGGGCCAATTTGCTCATGTAATTTTTTAATGCTTCCATAGGTGACCAGTTAGAGGAAGTCACTTTTTGTACTCCTAGTAATGAAGATCTTTTTAAAATGATGATTTATTTATGTGAAGACATCATTGAATATTCAAATGCAATAAGATTATTGAGGAACTGTCTGCTTTGGGTTTGTTTAGAATGACTCCCAACTCTTACACAATTTAAAATGTTTATTTGGATTAGTGCTCGTCTTCTTTCATGTTTAAAATACTAACAGCGATGAGCCTCAGTTTCTTTAATTGTAAATTAGGAATAAAATGGCCATGCTTCATAACTTTTCTTTCCTTTTAGTAAACATGCAGAAAATTATACAAGTTGTAAGTTTACAGCTCAGTGAATTTCACAAAGTTAACAAGTTCATGTAACTAGAATCCAGACCAAAATGACAAAACCTTGACATCATCCTAGGAATTCCACTTACGGCTCCTTTTAGGCATCATACCCCCAGCCTTCTGAATTTTAACACCATAGATTGTGTTTTTCTGTTCTTGAACTTTACGTCAATGAAATCTTGCATTGCATGTATTTGTGCTGTCTTGTTTCTTTTGTTGAACATGATTTATGAAATACCCATGTTGTTGCATGCAACCTTAGTTCTTCATTTCTGTATGGTATTCCATTGTAGTCCCAAGTAATTGATCCTCTCAGATACTGATGAATATATACTGCTGCTGTTTTTGGAATTATACAAGTAGTACTTTGGTAACTGTTCTGGGGCATGTCTTTTATTGAACATATGCACAATCTATTGGTTATATACCGAAGAGTGAAACTGGGGGAAGGGTCATAGGGTATGCATACAGTTAGCTTTAATAGATACTTTTCCGAAAGTTTTCCAAAGTGGTTGTACCAATTTATGTTCTCACCCACTAAGAGTATATAGGAATTTCTTTTTCCAAATCCTTAAAAACACTTAATATTGACTTTTCATTTTAGCCATTTTGGCTGTGTGCAGTTGTATCATTTTGTGGTTTCAATTTGCATTTGCCTTATGACTAGTGATGCTGAGCACCTTTTTATGCTTGCTGGCCATTTGGATAAGCTCTTCTGTGAAGTGCCTGTTCAAGTCTTTTGCCCCTTTTTCTACTGGGTTTTCTGCCTTTTCATTGTAGAAAATCTTTATGTATTTTGGATAGAACTGTCAGATAATACATAGAGATTACATATTTTCTTTCACTTTGTGGCTTACCCTTTTTCTCTCTTAATTCATACTTTTTGAGGAAAAATTAAGTTTAATGATCTCTAATTTATCAGTATTTTCTCATTATGACTAGCACCTATTATCAGTTTAAGAAATCTTTGCTTATCACATAAATGTGAAGACATTTTCCTATGTCTTTTTCTGAAATCTTTTACTTTGCCTTCCACTTTTGGATCTGCAATTCATACAGAATTGATCTTTGTGAGTATAAGGAAGGTGTCAATATTTATTTTATCCATGTGGGTACTTAAGTGACCCAGTGTCATTTTTCAAAGCCTTTTTTCCCTACACTGCATGCTGTCCTCACACTGAAAATATGTCACCTTTGACATAAATTACGTCACAGGTTACCAAATATGTGTGGGTGTCCTTCCAGTCTTTTCTATTTAATGTCTACGCTTGTGCCCACAGCACATTGTCTAGTTACAATAACTTTATAATACATCTTGTTATCTGCCAGTGTTAATCATCTGCAAGATTGCTTGGATTATTCTTGGATTCTTGCATTTCCATGTACATTTTAGAATCAGCTGATTAATTTCTGTAAAAAAAGTTATAATTTTTATTGGGCTTACATTTAATCTCTTGAAATCTTAATATATTGAATTTTCTAATCCATGAAACTCTACATTTATTTATCTTCTTTCTCTCAATCATGTTTTCAGTATAGAAGCTTACATATCTTTCATAATTTTATATCTATATTCATAAGGGATTTTGGTAAGTAATTTTCCATCCTTGTATCACCTTGTTGGGTTTTGGAATGAGGATTATACTGGCTTCATAAAATATGTAGAAAAGTGTTATATCTTCTTTTTACTACTTCCTGGGAGAGTTTGAATGAAATTGGTTATTTTTTCCATAAATAGTTGAGGAATTTCATAGTTTTGTTGTTGTTAATTAAACGAGCTATTACATCTAAAGCACTGAGGAAGTACCTGGCATTTAATAAATGCTCTAAAATGCTAGCTATCCTTCTGTGCTTGACTGTCCATTTTCCCCATGTAAATCACTACATTAATTCACCAGAACAGCAGGGTAGACTTTCTACAGAGACCTACATAAAGAGATAATGTGCTTTAAGCCATTCTTTAGATGTCACCTTTTAACATTCATCCAATGATCAATTGAGTACTCATAATATTTTCAGAAGATATTCTATTTTGATTTCCCAGCCACTTTACTCCCATAAAAGTCGAATTACTACTACACAAAAGAGAGGTGGGTTTCAACAGAGCACAGTTTTAAATGATACAGATCACTCCATCTTGTACTCATAAAGGATTTTTTGTTACTAACAGGTGCACACTGAGTTCATGAAACATCTACCTTTTTCCCTTAATAATTCCAGGCACCTTCCATTCTGAGTTCTTGTGCTCTCTCTCCTTTCCTTCTAGTGGAATTTTTCAAGGGGTACCTCCATGTGGTCTCCATTTTCCTAGGTCCACTCATTTCTCAACTCAAATCTGGTTTCCTTTCCTACCACACTACAGAAATGACTCATCACCAAGATCCCCACAAGTTGCCATGCCATTAAATAAAGGTCTCTGTGCTGTCCTCAACTGAAGTGATCTCAGTGGTATGCACTATGGACCACACCTGCTTTCTTGAAACACACTCTACCAAATGGATTCTATGACAATATATGCTTACTGCTTTTTCTCTTATTTAGTATTTTCTATTTAGCCTTAGTGGACTCATCCTTACAGAACTTTTTCAGTGTGGAGTCAATTTCTTGAAGCATCTGGCTTCAATCATTTCTATGAATGTTGGCCCTTATGTATATCTCCTTCAAGTAGTGTATTTCTTTTTTCGGCTCCATATCCATATATTGTTAACTCTTTGAGATCCCCATTTAGAGGCTTCTCAGGTACCTCATATTCAACATTGTCTAAAACTGGGCTCATGCTATTCTTCTCATGGCTGCTCCTGTAATTCTCTCTTAGCAAACACCATACCATCTTCCTGGACCCCAAGATGAGAACACTGAGTGCCATCTTGGAACTCTACTCTCTCCTTCACCCCATGGTCAAGCAATTGAGAAGTCCTGCTCATTTTTCCTCCTAACCATCTCACGATTTCACCTGTAGTTTTTTTCCATTGACACTATTTGAAGGTCCAGGTGACCATCAATTTATCAAGATTATTCAAATTAGCTCTTCTCTGAACATTCACAATTGCTGGTCTACCCACTGCAGCCAGAATACTCTTTTTAAAACTTGAATCTGCAAATGTCATGCCACTTTTCAAAAGTATCTGTTTCATGTCTGTCTCCACCAAGGGAATGCAGTCTGTTTTGTTCAGGTAGATCATCAGTGTTCCATATATGTTCATTAAATGATAAATGACAAGAAAAAAAATCAAAGTTGTTTTTTTTTAACCGTGCACAAATATATTTTCCTGTGATATGTATGTAGGTAATGACTTCTCCAATATAAGACATCATTGAAAAGTTTATAGTTGACATGGCCAAAGCTTATAAATAATATCACAGTACGAGCTGTGTGTTTAATACAAGAAATTACTTCCTCTGATAGACCACACTAATCTACCCATCTCAGCGCTCTGTATACATGAAAGGGCAGAGAAGAAAAGTTGACTATAACCCAATCAATTAATCAGGTATTTCCTGAGTGTCTTTTAGGTGCCAGACAGGATGGTCTACCCAGTGGAGGACAGAGGGAATCAAGGCCTCTGGTAATGATGAGCTATAGCAGAATATGGCAAATGCCAGAAAGATATGAAAGATGTGGGGGAGGGGGTGCAAGAGAGAAGGGTAGACTCTAATTCAGCCAAGTAAACAAAAGAAATCCTATTTGGGGCAGGAAACTTCTGAAAATTTTAAAAGATGGTAGAATTTATTTGGACAGAAACTTGTGAGAAAGTATTCCTAGTGAAAAGAATAGTCGGAATAAGGATTAATCTGATGTAATGTAATTGGTACCATCGCCATGTCTTGTAAGAGGTATTGGAGGCCTTGGCTTAGGGGGTGGTGATCAGAAATGGACAAGACAGAAATGGACAAGATAACATGGCAACACTGGATCTACAGATTTATGGGTTGGGAGGTGGGGGGAAAAAAAAACATAAGGAACAAAAAAGGGGATGCCCAGTGATTACTAGCCCAGAAAATGCCAGTGCCAGTAAGGGAAATAAGGAAGCTAGGAGACTATGGGTTTAAGGGTCCTGAACACACAGAGGGAGAGATAACAGAATTTCTGACCCACTGAGGTAGAGGTGCCTAAAGACATCCAGTCAGAGCTGGAAATGGGGCTGTGAGGTTTGAGAAGAGAATCAGGAGAGCTTGGCTAAACTTCAACATTCCTACTAAATTATCTTTAATTATCATACTGAAACCATAATCCATAAATTTTATCTAAAGAGCATTCTGGAATCTCGTATGAGTTTGATTACTTGTATAAATCTTCACATTTCCCTTACAACGAACATTTTTAACGTTCAAAGTCTACTTAATCAATTAACAATTGTTTTCCACTTACAGTTTATTAAAGGTTGATTCAGTCCTGCTCTTGGTAGCCCAGCTGCTGTCTGTGTCCTAAACTTAATGCTCAGAATTCCCATTGGGCTGCAGAGGGAATAAGTCTAACTAATGATGCCTTCTTGTTGGACAAATTATTTCATTTTGAAATTGCATAGCAAAGGAACAACAATAAAGTATCGGTTCCACTTTTAAATAAATAAGGGGTTATTTTGCTGCTGAAAGTTTTCATTCAAATGACTGATCAGATCTCACATGTCTGTTTAAAAATGTCTGACTTAGGTCGTTACAAAATGACAGACTGTGATAAACTACATGATAGTTGGGAGTGAGACAATGAGGCATTGTTTACACAGAAGATTGAGTAACTGGTTTAACAAAAGAGGTTTTTGGATATCTATTGTATGTACAACTAAGAGATTTACTGGAGCTTTTATAATTTCTGCAAGGCTCTTTTCCAGCCAGCTTCATTAACTTGAAGCAAATCAAATCATGCAGAAATCTGGCTCAGCCAGAAAGAAAACCAGGAAGATATAATATGAAGAAAAACAGACACGGGATGATAAGGTTTAGAATCTTTGGCATTTTTCATAAACGTTTTGTTTGAAGATTATTAAATTACAACCCAGAGAGGAAAAAAAAAATAAAACTATTAAATCAGGTCTTTTTACCTCAACTTTTCTTTACAATACACACACACACACACACACATATATATATATGTTATATATAAAACTGCACAGAGTATGTGTCAACAAAATAGTCTTTACAACTTAAATATCATTTGAACAGAAGGATATTTGCGTGTATTTTATATATGCATAAAATCGGGGTTTTTACTTGGGGGTACTATGAAATGGTGGGGTCTGAAGGAATCAGCTATTTTTTAAGACGACCTTGGGGTGGTGCTTTTCAAGGAATAGGGTTCTGAGATATATATGCATTATGTGTAGCTTATCTTGCTCAGGAACAAAAGATCAATTTGGACGGCTGAGTTATTTTTACTTTCTGCTCAAAAATGCGGGCAAATACAGTGGTTATGACAATCAGGTAAAGCAGCCATAAATTAGTCCCTTGCTCCTCAGCCTTTCTCCATCTTCCTAAATACTTCCAGAATTCATTCATTCATCCCCCTCTCTCTGAAGCTCTAATATTGACATTCTATTTTGGAAATAAGCAAAGTCCAGTCAGAAGATATGGCGTTTGTAAGGTAACCAAATACTCTCATGTAACCTTCACTTTTTGGATGAATGGTCCCTTTGGACCTTTGCAGGGCTTCCACTGTCTGCAACGGACTGCCATACACACTGGCGTCCAGCACCGGGGAGCTGACTGCCATTGTCCACACACGTCTTCAGTAATCATGGCGCAGGACTCCCAAAGGCTTGTGCTAATCCTGGCAATTATTAAAAAATCTACTTACAAGAGACACTCGTTGGGGAGATGATGCTACAACCAGAGACCTGTGAACTCAAGAGAAAGAAATGGACTCACATGCCCGATAATCTGAAAGGAGTGTGCAAACGGGAGAGGAAAAAACTGAATCTTAAGGAGAATCTGTTGGAGGTAGGAAAACAAGTTCGGAGTCACACTTGCATGCAGGTGGTCTCCCAGCCATTCTCGAGGAGGTTGTTCAGACCCCTGGCCACCTTACTTTACCTCCTATTTGAGAAGGGACCTCAGTCTTCCACGGTCGCTAGATTGTTTCCTTCTGACGGGCCAAGCCGCTAAGCAACTAGCACACCCACGCGTGTGGATGTGAGCACATGGGTGTGCATTGGCGCACGTGGAGAAGCAGGGAGAGTACAGGGAGGGCTCCACGCATTTCAGAATAACACCATGGGTACCACCACGGAAACAGAGAGTGTTGGTCTAATCAACCCAACAGGGCATCGGGTGCTGGTGCCCAAGGCTGGCGTGGGTCCTAGAGAGCGCTGCGCTTCTTCCGAACGGGGCTCTGGCTGCTGCAGAGTTTCAATTCTGCATACTGCACCTGTGAAAACAAACAGACGGGCCGCCGGTGGTTAGGTAACCCTAGCTCACCACAGTGTGTTAATGGCTCCCCAAGGACAGACCGAGGCAAAGGAAGGAAGGTTCAAAGGCAATGAATCATTTTCTAAACACAGGAACATAGAGGGATTAATTGCAGGAAGGATTTGAGAAGTCATGCATCATTTCTTGAGACCAAAATATTAAAAGCAGATTTTTCTAATGAGATGCACGGGTTTCTACCTGCTCTTGGCACTGCCAGATAATTTTAGTTCTGTGTGTGCCCGTTTTCAACCACAAGTACGCTTAATAACTGCCTCTTGGGAATGTTTATCTTAGTATATGATACAGCAAAACTTACTAAGAAATATTCATTTGCAATTATCTAAAGTCTTGGGGGAAGAATTCTCTGCAAATTATATAATACATTTATGTTGCTAGGGAGAGGAAAAAAAGTGTTGAAATTGATACCGGCCACAGAGTTAAATAGATTTCTCTTAAAAATGAATTGCATTTACAATGTAATGGCTAAAACATCTGTGATAAATATGAGCACTCAGGGAGTCCCCAGTGGAAAACTGTCTATTGTGTTATTCGAAAGTGCTCTTGGGGATACATGGAGGATCTTACTAGCATACTGTACATCTTCCTCGAATGCTCTTTTGTAGCGTCCCTCTGTATTCATGCCCACTCCAACTGGATGGCTGCTCGGAGAGGTGGTGCCTGGACTACGTAGAGACAATCCTTGTGGTAGGGTGTGCTGGATGATGATTTCCTTTCTTTGAGGATGCAGGGACAAACTCACATTGCAACTCAAGTGATGCAACTCACTCTCATTTGGTGTGTGGGTTTTGATTGGCTGACAGTGGAATGGCTTCATTTAAAGTATTGTATTACAGACCACATGTGCTTACTGGTTTTTAGCATTTGTGCCAAACTCCCCAAGGACACCATGCCCCATCACATATGTTGAGCTACACTTCGTCAAAAGCAGATACATGCAAAAAAGCACCCTTTCCTCAGAGTGTTTGGTGAAGGTCCCCTAGGGGAGCAGGGAATGACATACCTGTCAATCTTCAGTGCAAAACAAACAGGGGCCAGGTTACTATTTTATCATCATGTAATGCAAATGTTAACGAGGAACCTCATATTCATAGAATGCATGTAATAGCTAATTATATCATAAAATGGAGATTAAAGAAAAACGGCGTCATGAAGTCTATTTTAATCTCTAGAACTCAGAGTGAAGGGGAAAGAAACTGTAGGTCTTTTCAGCCCGAGTCACTGCCATTGCCCAAGAGCCGCCGTGACAGCGGCCCAAGGATGAAAATCAATACTTGATTTGGATTCTCTCAGATAATAAAGCGTTGTGTCTTTGATCATCATGTTGGTATTTGACACCATGGTCTCCCCACCTACTCCTTCTATGATCTCTATTCTCCTTGAGAGATATCAATGCCTCCCCTCCTTCCTCTGGATTTATAGCCGCCTGATCTGCAGGGGCCTGGCTCGGGCTACTCTACAGGACTTTTTTGCCTGGTTTATTTATTTATTGTTGCCTGGTTTAATCTCTATGCATCCATAGAGACCAGATGCCACTGGACTAAGTGACCATTACCTGTGAATAATACTTCTGATCGATCTCCAATTATTTCACACTGTCTCTGCCTCTATGTGTATGAGAGTGGGTAGGAGCTTTGCCCTCGGCATCCCTAAGTCTTCGGGGGGGAAGGTATAGAAGGGAAGCCTAGGACGTAATTGGGGCAAGCAATAATAAAAAAGAATAACCCTCTTGTCCCTTACTTCCCCTAAAATGCCTGCCATCTGGAAGAGGAGGAAAATAAGCAATCCTCCCCTAGCTTGGGATCTCCCACTCACTGAGCCCATCTTATCCTCCTCAGGGAGGCAAGTGATCAAAAAATGGACAAACACCATTGCACCATACCCACATAGTGTGAGTTCCAGATCCTTCTTAAGTAGCCCTTTTTGGGGGGTAATTTTCCATAATCATCTCATGCTCTGGACAAAGGTTTTCCTGCCACCTCCCTGCAAGCCAGGCCTCTTTAAGGATTTTCTGACGCATTATCTCAATTACACAAGAACAGCCCTGTGCTCTTCAGGCTCCGAGGATGGCCAGACTTCAGTGCTGGGGTCCCCGTTGGTGGTGACCGTTCATTACGTACCTTTTGAACATCAGATGGTACCCTGGAGAGGAAGTCTAGCAGCTCATTATTGTCGATGGCATAGGGATTTCGAAGCTTCTTCGTAAATTTATTTATGCCTGAAAAATAGAAACACAGGGAGATCTCTTTGTCTATCTGTCTGCCTATCTATCTATCTATCTTTAAAAACTCTCCTGACTGGGGGAGGGGGAGATTCACAAGCAAAAATTAGTGTAAAACAATTACTAGACCTCAAGTCACACACACACGTCACTGTCATGTGGAATACTCACAAATGCCTTTTCTGGAAGGAAGGAGGGGTGGGGGTGATTCTGTGGGACAGGAGTTCTGCCATCTTCAACTGTGAAAATCCCATTACAATCCCAGCAGCAGGATGGCAGAAACACACACTAAAATCGTGGAGCTCATTGGCTTTTTTGGACTAGGCTGATTAACAGCCTCCTCTGCTAGGAAAACAAACATCCCAGATGGGAAAAGGCCTTCATTAGCCCCAACAAGTCTCTGCTTGGGGGCTCTGGACCAAATGTAGCAGTAGGAGGTGGAGGGCGGCAGTCGCTTTTTTTGTTGTTAAAAAGAAACTGCAGAAATCTCTCTCCCCTACTCCAGCTCATTTTCACAGGTTTCTCTTCTCTCACTGCAGAACAGAACTTGACGTGTTGATTGTACTTTGATGCTGCAGGAAACTGTGAAAAGTTATTATTGGAAATCATCTTACTATGGCTGCTAACTTAATTTATGGACCGCGACACTGGTGCGTGGGTTTGTCTAGTCAATGGAGTCCCTGCTAATTTAGGATGGGGACAGTGGTAATTAGAGGACGTTCAACCCTTAAAGTGTCTTTGATGGCTGCACTTTGGGTGTGCGGGCATGCCCCGGGCAAGCTCCACCTGTGGTTTCCTCTGTAGAGGGATGTACCTCTCAGCCACCTTTGTGTCTCCTCCTCTGTTCCTCCCAGCTGCTGGTAAGAGCTCAGGAGCTGTTGCCTTTCCTCCAAAGGTCAACTCTTTCTCATGCTGAGTTTTCCAAGCAGAAAGAGTAAGGTGGTGGGCTTCTGAAGTTCTGCCACAGAGTGCTTGTTTAGCGAGGATCATACCTGAAGCCCTGGTTGATCCCAGTGATGCTGAATGAATTCTCACCTTAGATGAACCCTGACTGACTCTTCCCTCAAAGTCAAGGTAACAGTTAACTGTTTGACAGTCCCCAGCCCATAAAAGCTTTGCTGTTTTTCTTCATTAAATATTATTTTGCTTTCGTCTAAGGATGGAACTTTCTGAGTGACATTATACCTGAGTCATTTCCTTAGAGGGTCAGATTTACATCTGCTTTGCAAATGGGAGCTGGCCATTGTTCATGAGTAAAATGGTGGCCCGGTGGTTGGGCTGGGGAAGGCTCCTTACAAATGATCCTTTTTCTCTCAAGTCAAAGCTGCACTCTGCCTTTCTTCTCTCTACCCCCCACAGCAAGCTTCATGTTTCTAGCTAAAATCTCCCCCAGCGTTCCTTTAAACTAAAATACTCTCACTGTGTTATTCTAAAGACATTTAATTGTAGCATGGGCTTTTTGGCAAAAGAAAACAGACAAGGCAAAATGATGAAGGGAGACAAAGACTTATTGAGAAAAGATATATCTTCTATTGTTAATTATATATAGTGTGCGCATCTGGAGTCTTTACAATGAACAGCAAGGCAGGGATATTCTCACAGCCGATCAAAACACTGCATTCTTAGTCACTGAGAAGATTATAAACCTGCACAGTAGCTCAAATACACCAATAAGGGCAGAAGTGGCCCACAATGCACTGAGATTGTCTGTTTGAAAAACTTAGTGAGAATCAAAATTATAAGCCGCTCCGATTACATGCCTCAAAAGCACACCTTACTTTTTTTGTGTGTTGTCAAATGTCAGTAATTCTACAATATTATCTACTGTGTGAGACCAAGTGTCCATGGGGGCTCATGTACTCCTGGGTCCTCAGTAAGGGGCAATGGGTCAAGGAACAAGGGCTATGGAACAGGAATAGCTGGGCCCCAGCTCTGGCATCACCAGGCATCCGCTGTGTGGGTTTAGGCAAACCACTGGACCTTCCTGTGCCTCATATTTCCTACATTAAAATCTGAATAATAAAGACCTGAGCTATAGAGTGTCCTAGGTTGATGGGAGAATCACATGGACAATGTAAGCATGAGGATTCTGTAATTTGGAGTTCCATAACAATGAGGGAGGGCTACCATCATTACTCGAGATGTCAATAAGCCAAAAAACAAAGGGGTGAGAGAAGAATCCCTATACTATATGGCATGTGAGTACACACCCAAATTTGGAAGTTGTACCTTTATCAGCGTGACAGACACGCCTTTCAATATTTTTAACCTAAATGCAGATAGGCAGAGGGTCTATCTGCTCTGAATTTTAATTTTTTAGCACACCCAAAGAAGTGGGATCCAAATACCAAGGGATAACATTTGGCAAAGACACTGTCATTTAATGGTCCCAGATCACAGATTAAACCGATCAGTGGAATAGAATGAGCAATCCAGTTTAAAAAAAAAAAAAAATCTCTTGGAGAAAGTTGGAAAAACTGCATGACTGCTTTGCACATATGGCCACAGGTGAATAAACACTTGAAACAGAATTATAACACTATTTTTCAGACACTTGTATGAGTGCCTAGCATGTAGCCCTGACCTCAGTACATTGACGAGAGTGTTGAGATGGGGCAGAGTGTCCTTGCTCGCTCATGTATCAAACAGTTAAGTGCTTGCCACATAAAAGACACTGTGCTATCAAATGGAGATACAAAGTTAAGTAAGTCATGGGTCTTCTTTTCAAGAAGTTCATAATCTAGCTTGGTGAGTTCTATCTACCGTGGAACAACAGAAGTATCCAGATCAGAACTGAACCATCTATGCTGGAGAACAGAATGAAAGGAATATGGGAAACCTCTTAAAAGGGGCAGAAAACCCACATGGGATCTAATCTTAAGAAGTGCCTTGCCTTAGATATGTTAAGAAAAAAAAAAAGAAGAAGAAGAAGGTAGCGGGAGGGGAGGAATGAAGCGGGGGAAATCGGAGGGGTGGACGAACCATGAGAGATGATGGACTCTGAAAAACAAACAGGGTTCTAGAGGGGAGGGGGGTGGGAGGATGGGTTAGCCTGGTGGTGGGTATTGAGGAGGGCACGTTCTGCATGGAGCACTGGGTGTTATGCACGAACAATGAATCATGGAACACTTCATCTAGAACTAATGATGTAATGTATGGGGATTAACATAAGAATAAAAAAAAAAAAGAATAAAAAAAAAAAAAAAGAAGAAGAAGGTAGCGGGAGGGGAGGAATGAAGCGGGGGAAATCGGAGGGGTGGACGAACCATGAGAGATGATGGACTCTGAAAAACAAACAGGGTTCTAGAGGGGAGGGGGGTGGGAGGATGGGTTGGCCTGGTGGTGGGTATTGAGGAGGGCACGTTCTGCATGGAGCACTGGGTGTTGTGCACGAACAATGAATCATGGAACACTTCATCTAGAACTAATGATGTAATGTATGGGGATTAACATAAGAATAAAAAAAAAATAGGGGACTGAAAATGTACTTTAAAAAAAAAAAAAAGAAGTGCCTTGCCTTCTAGAAATACATCAGATAGGTGCTCAAAATTCAGTAGATATGGTCTCCTTCAGAGAATGTCAAATATCCCTCTTAAGCCACCTCTCACATCATTTTCAAAATCTACACTCCCACACAAGAGAGGTGGGTGTTGGGCTCAAAAGAAATGCCATCCCTGTAGATCACAGGTATGAAATTTTCAGACATATTAAATATTTGTCAAGTACTTGTTAAAGATCTACTACCTATATATAGCTTCTCTAAAATTATAGGTTAAAAAAGAAAGAAAAATGTATCACCCTTCAAAACCTGACAATGAAGTTGGTGAGTCAAGGAATATTCCTTATGGCCATTATGAAATTAGGCTGCTTTTCAGAGGTTTATGTTAAATAATCCTGGTACTTAATAAGTATTTCTACAAAAATATTATTTGGGTGTACAGAATATGGAAATACAGAATATACAGTTAAGTAATTTTGTTCCAAAGGGTTAAAAAGAGTGGACAAAAAAAAAGGGATCTTAACTCACCACTTTTAGGACTCAATGAAAATGAGTAACTCAGAATAAGAAACAATCTTCTGATCCTTAGTAAAGTTAAAAGGAACACTAGAAATGGAAGACATACGAAGTCATCTTCTACATGAGAAAGTCTCTGACAAGGATACAATATAGGAGATGTGCAAAGGAATGTCCTGGGTCCATGAAGCTTTAAACTAATAACTAATTTGTCTTGGAAAAGAAGTCCTAATAGAAATTGCTGAGTATATTCCAGGATGGCATGGCAGGTTTTACTCAATGAGGCAACAGATCATGTGTTGATTGTCAAAGCTTTTGACTACATTATATATGGTGAGCTCATCAATAAACTATAAGCCCTTGTCCAGAACATAAAACTAATGAACCAGACACAGAAGACAAAGCTCAAAGGGTTACTGTCAGCTTAGGAGAACATAATAAACTCCATGCTATTTAATAATTTCATCCATAAGCTGAATGATAAATAGAGAAGTATCTCATTAATGAGATGCAAAAAGCTGGTGTTTGAAAGCTGCCAAGATCTTGGAGGATAAGATCAAAAGTCAAAGCAATTTGGGATAAACAGAAGGAGGGATTGGACTTCCAAAACTGATGATCAAAGGAGGAAATATAGTATAGTCTTTTGTCGACGGAAAGATGCAGAAAAGTCAAGTATGTACCAAAATGATGAGGAGATCCTGAGAAACAGTGTTTGACAAGCTGACCATGCATTCAACTTACACCAGCTTAAAAATGAACAAAATATTGGCCAACTGATTATAGTAATTTTGAATCATTTTTTTAAAATTTGTTATTGTTATGTTAATCACCATACATTACATCATTAGTTTTTGATGTAGTGTTCCATGATTCATTGTTTATAACACCCAGTGCTCCATGCAGAACGTGCCCTCTTTAATACCCATCACCAGGCTAACCCATCCTCCCAACCCCCTCCTCTCTAGAACCCTCAGTTTGTTTTTCAGAGTCCATCATCTCTCATGGTTCGTCTCCCCCTCCGATTTCCCCCCCTTCATTCTTCCCCTCCTGCTATCTTCTTCTTCTTTTTCTTTTTAACATATATTGTATTATTCATATGACTTCACTGATATGAGGAATTCTTAATCTCAGGAAACAAACTGAGGGTTGCTGGAGTGGTGGGGGGTGGGAGGGATGGGGTGGCTGGGTGACAGACATTGGGGAGGGTATGTGCTATGGTGAGCGCTGTGAATTGTGCAAGACTGTTGAATCACAGATCTGTACCTCTGAAACAAATGGATCATTTTCTGATTAGGGTCAGACAACAGTTTTAAGATCTGTTTTTTAAATGTTGATCAATAAATGGATTTGCAAACGAATTCTTAATGAAAAACAATTAAGAAAGACTGAGATTATTCAGTCTATATAGATAACATTTAGTACATAAGGTATCCAGGGAGATACTTTTATAAAATGTTTCTTCTTGATCAACCGACCCTGAAGAGCTTCTTGATCTCTTTCTAAGGGTCTGTGGACCAATGTGCTAGCATTGTTGCAAAATTGAGAAACAATCAAAAACTAAGTATGGATAGAAGACTTTCGCCAAGAGTGAGGGTCATCAAGGCTCAAAACAGACCTATAAAGAGGGAAATTAGAATATCTTTTTTCTTTTCTCAGGATTTCTATAAAAGAGAGATACTTCTTTATATGGGATTTTCACTTTCTGGACAAAACAGAGAACCAGTGGCTTATGCTCTCTCAAAATCATTCCACTTCTGAAGTTTTATGAGTTATTCTGTTTTTTTTAACGACTTTTCCCAATTCGGAATGTCTACATTTGGCTTTTCTCATCAGCAGGATTCTACTCCTGTGGGTTCTCTTTGAAAAGGTCTACATTTAATGGTTTTAGAAAAGTTGTAGCTTGTATCTGACATTTGCAAGCTCTCAGCTTTTGCTTAAACATGAATGCATCTTAATGCAGTCACTTGTAGGTGGTAACTTCTCTGAACACCTTAACATCCAAGGATCCCTAGAAGGGAGTATCTATGGTTGAGAACTCAGCAGTATTCATAGGAGCCAAGGAATGGAAAACTATGACTGGCAGACTCTTAGGGAAAAGGGTTGATTGCTTTTCCAGCAATTAATTTACTGCAATGCACGCTCCTTCTATCAACCCAGAGCCCACCCAGCAACAGACACAAATATTCACAAAGCTGCTTGTCTTTTGTCCAACTGCTGGCTTGAGTAGTAAATCAAGTCATGCAGTTTATTTCGAGTTTGTGATTTTTGTTTCTACTTTTTTTTAAAGCAGCTAAACTTTATATAGGCACACCATTTACCCTGCTAAATTATAGCTTCCTCTTCTTTCAGGCACTGGTTAGGGAGTAACCACCTCCCTTCCTCTCTACCGCTTCTGGATTTAAGTATGGGGTTAGATTATTTTTCCTCCAGGAGAGATGAAGTGTCAGAAGCACCGTGGCAGGGGCCAGATCTACTTTTGCATAATATAAAGGGCAAGATGCAGGTGTTTACGCACTGTTTGAATAACAGTGTTTCCTGAAAGTTACCGGGCCACGGCAATATATTATCCAAGAGTATTTATGGCTACGAAAGCCCAAAGGGAAATCTCATGCACAATCACATTTTTATTTGATTGCAATTATGCAAGAGGCCTATAAATATCTATGCTGATCGTTCAGGCAACTGGCCTTTTCAGGGAGGTCCTGCAAGTTTTGTTCCCAAAATACCTTCCTTAATCTCATGTTTAATTGCCAACAAGAGCACATTTAAAGTTGATGGTCGCACTTGACAAATGAGTCATTGGTTCTTACCTAAAATTGACCACTCGCAAAAGGACCATGCCAGACTTACCCCAGATTAAAATGATGTACCGGAGTGGAATAAAATACAAAACGATGGTGGTCACTGCCAGGATCAAACAGGCCAGGAACGAGAGGAACGGGACCGTCCAGTTAAACATGCTGCAGACAAAGCACATCACTATCATTCTCTCTGACGCTCTACAGCACCTACCAGTTCATCTTGCCATGTTTACTTCTTAGTTACACAAATGAAAAAGGTCTACTGGAGAAGTCCCTTTAACAACCTGGAGAGAAAGCTCTGCCAAGCTGGGGATGGCACAAACATCACTGAGGTCCTGAGGAGCAGGTCCCAAGACCAACTGCCAGCCAGCTTGTCAGAGTCCTGGTGACTTTGCCTTCCTGGAACCGACAGTCTTTAAGGGAAGACTCTGGCTCCCATAAGCGATGAAAGACTACAGTGTGGTCAGGATGGCTCCATGCATGGAGATCTTCAAAACAAAAGGTTAGTGATGTCACTTCAAAGTCAACAATTCTCTCCATGAAGACATGGTTGCCAGTAAATATTTAGAAAAGGGAGTACATTATTAAGGTGCTCTGGTGCTTTTTTTGTTTTCTCTTTTTTTCTTTTTGAGAGAGAGAGTGCACAAGGTGGGGGGAGGGTGGAAGGGCAGAGGGAGAGGGAAAGAGAGAGAATCTCAAGCAGGCTCCACGCTCAGTGCAGAGCCCCACACGGGGCTCCATCTCAGGACCCTGTGATCATGACCTGAGCCAAAATCAAGAGTCCAACACTTAAGTGACTGAGCCACCAAGGCACCCCAACTTCTGTGTTTTCTAATAACTTCTTTTTAGAATTTTCGGACTCATTGACTCTAGAAGGTTGAGTGCCCTGAAAAGGGCTGGAAGCATTTGACTCTAAACCATTAGGCCACCAACCCATAGATAACACAGGTTATGTGACCACATGTTATGTTCACGGGGCCCCTGGCTCCTTTCAGCATATCCACTGCCTCCTTTGACTTGTGTGCAAATGGAGATCTGGAACATGGGATGTAGAATTGAACAAATAGTGGAAATCTTTGCATGGTCCTAGAAAATGATCTGTAGATCCCATGTTCTGCAGAGAACCCATGAGAGCCTAGGGTCCTTCTTCTTCCCAGTCTTTATTTTCATTTACTTGGTTGTCTATTGACCCTTGACTTTGTGGCTAGGAACACAAAGAGGTAAAAGATTTGTCTCTCAGTCTTTGTTTTTGTGTGTGTGTGTGTGTGTGTTTTTTTTAATGCATATGTGTGCGGGGAGATAGTGGGGGATGTGGGGGGACTAACCTATATCAGCTGCTAGGCACTTAATATGTGCCATTGTGCTAATATTTTTCATATCATTATTGTGATGGTCACCATAATTCTTCCAAGTAAAGATTATCCCCATTTTACACATAAGCAAATTGAGGCTGAGAGAGATTTTGTTTTATTTTGTAAATAACCACAATTCCATGAAGAGTCTAAGAAAAACCCAGTCATCTCACCCTCTTGTAATAGACTGTTATCAGTGTTTTTAATCTTTGCCCATAGAGAGGTACGTGTGTTTTTAATTTCTCACTTTTTAAAACTATAAGCAAATTTAAACACCTTTTAATATGCATGCTCATCATTTTAGTTTGTTTCTCAAGTGATTTCTAGTTTATTTCTTTGTGAGGTGTCACTATTTGGGAAAGTGCTTAAGAAAACGGAATTTTAAGCATACTGACATTGGATTGAGTTCGGGTTCCATCTCTAATAAGCTACAGGAAAGTGATTTAATCATTCTGTACCAACATTTCTGCTCTGCAAAATGTGAATAATAATAGTACCTCTATCTTCTGCCAGAATCAAATAAGAACTTGCATTTAAGGTAGCTAGCACATTCTGTTTTTAGCACATTGTAAAAACTCAGAAAATGGAAAGCAGTTATGATTTGTCTATTGTGCCTTGAGCTGTTTTTGCTTGACTTTTTCCTCAGTAACCTAAAATATCTCTTTGGATACTAAAGAAATCAGTCCTTGGTCCTATTTTTTACAGTGCTTTTCGCAATGTGTTCCTTTCTTGTCTTTTTTTGTCCGGTTTATATATTTTTAAATATAAAATTATTTATGTTACATGACCAAATTTATCAATTTTTTTTTCCTGGTTAATTTCTAGATTTGGTAGCACTTACCAAAGACTTCCCCACTCCAGCAACTTGACACCAACAAACTGAATAATTGATATTTTTCCCACTCTTTCCTCATGCCTATTTCTATGCTATTCTAAATTTATACATATACATTGGTCCATTTCTGACTACTCTTTTCCACAGTAAAACTTCCAGTTGGAACTTTCTGGAGGGCGATTTCACATTTGGAGAAACGTTGTATGGATTCCCTAATGCTCCAAATTATGCCATGGCAGGAAGTTTAGCCTACAGATCTCCTTGCACAAGGATGCAGGGACAGTGCATGAATACCACAGTAATGGTTGCTAGTTCTTAAAAAAGGAAATAGCTTCAGTATCATTAATAGCACAATATCTAAATAAAGGGAAAAATCTAAATCGATTTCTACTCTGTAGTATTATGCAGATTTTTGTTTTGTTCAATTCAGCATTTATTAAGCATCTACTATGTACACAGACTTAGATAACCTTTATTCTGATCTTTTTTTCTTAGCATAAAGTTGCAGCTGTATCTATCTTTAAAAAACAATGAGATCATCACTGATATGAGGAATTCTTAACTGCAGGAAACAAACTGAGGGTTGCTGGAGTGGGGGGTGGGGTGGGAGGGATGGGGTGACTGGGTGATAGACACTGGGGAGGGTATGTGCTCTGGTAAGCGCTGTGAATTGTGCAAGATTGTTGAATCTCAGATCTGTACCTCTGAAACAAATAATGCAATATATGTTAAGAAAAAAAAAGAAGAAGAAGGTAGCGGGAGGGGAAGAATGAAGTGGGGGAAATCGGAGGGGTAGACGAACCATGAGAGACGATGGACTCTGAAAAACAAACTGAGGGTTCTAGAGGGGAGGGGGGTGGGAGGATGGGTTAGCCTGGTGGTGGGTATTGAGGAGGGCACATTCTGCATGGAGCACTGGGTGTTATGCACAAACAATGAATCATGGAACACTTCATCTAGAACTAATGATGTAATGTATGGGGATTAACATAAGAATAAAAAATAAAATAAATAAAATAAAATCTTAAAAATAAAAAAAAAAAAACAATGAGATCATAAAAAGGACAACCACACAAACACCCCTGCCCCCCAACACAGAGGTTCAAAGCTATATACAGTGAAAAAATAAATTGCATAAATAAATGTGGGTACTGTATATATATATATATATATGCATATGCGTATGTATGCATATGTTAATAAATTTACAGATGCACAAATATCACATACATAGATTTTTATCCTGAAAAAAACCTCTGATGGATATACAACAAGTTGTTAATGGTAGTTCAATATGATGGAAAGAAGGGGAAGAAAAGGAAGTATAGAGAATAAAGGGGGAATTCTGTTTGATTACTTTTATAATGGATGTGTACCATATTTATAATAAAAATAAACAAAAACAAGATATGGAATCAATTACAATTAAATAAGTAAACACAAACATCAACCTTTATGCCTTAATTTTTTTGTTTGTTTTGTTTTTTGAAAGCAGAGACACAGTAGCAGATTCTGGATACAAATCAATGGATAGATACCATAGATTAAGAACGATCCTGACTGGGAAGACAATAAAAGTTAACAATTTATATCAGGCTGTGGTGAGTCATGCTGTAAACTTTAGGGTAACAACTAAAAGAACAGCAAAAGAGTCCTTACATTCTGAGCAAATAGATAAAAAATACAGATGAGAAAAAAAAAAAACACTCAGAACAAGGACAAAGAAAACAATAAAAACCACAAATTTAAATCTAAATATATTAGTAAGCACATTAAATTTGAATGGACTACATGGTACAATTAAAAGACAGTGATTGTCAGAAACAAGAAAGAGATCTAAAACATAAACAGACAGGTTGAAAGAAAATAATAGGAAAGTATATACTATGAAGAAACCAGCAAGCAGGAGATGGTATAGTCGTATTATTACTAGTTAAGATATTAAGGCAAAATTTCATTTATTGCTTAGATCTAAGTAGGTCACCTCCTATTAATGATCCAATTCACCTGGAAAGTATAACAATTTTAATATGTACAACCCAGGGGCACTTGGGTGGCTCAGTCGGTTAAGCATCTGACTCTTGATTTCGGCTCAGGTCATAATCTCAGGGTTGTAAGATCGAGTCCCATGTTGGGCTCTGTGCTCAGCGCGGAGTCTGCTTGAGATTCTCTCTGCCCTTCCCCCCTGGCTCACTCGCTCTCCTTAAATAAATAAATAAAATCTTTAAAATAAAAGATACAACCCAAATAACATAGCTCTGGAATACGCAAAGCAAAAACTGACCAAGCTACAAGGAGATATAGATAAATCCACAGTGGAAAGTTTTGTTGTTGTTGTTGTTTTTTAAGATTTTATTTATTTATTCGACAGAGAGAGAGAGCAGGAACACAAGCAGGGGGACTGGGAGAGGGAGAAGCAGGCTTCCTGCCGAGCAGGGAGCCGGACGTGGGGCTCGATCCCAGGACCCTGGGATCGTGACCTGAGCCAAAAGCAGATGCTTAACGACTGAGCCACCCAGGTGTCCCCACAGTGGAAAGTTTTAATATACATCTCTAAGTAACTGATACAAGAAGTCACCAAAAATAAAAATCAGTATAAATACAAAAGATTGAACACAATCAACAAAATTAATCAATGCATACATATATGCATATATACACACACATACACATACACACACACACAATACACTCAATAACCTTTCCAAGCTCACAGGGAGAGACAGAAGTAGGCCATTTTCTTGATCAATATTTTCTGACCATAAAGCAATTAAGTTAGAAATTGGGAACAAAAAGATAACCAGAAAATCTCCATATACTTGGAAATTAAGCAATATATTTCTTTGCCAAGGAAGAAATAAAAATAGAAAATAAAAAAAAAAGTTTTTACTAAACTTGAATGATAATGAAAATATCAACACCAAAATATCTGGCCTGAAGCTAAAGTTATGCTTACAGGCAGTTGTAGAGCT